TTTGATATAATCAGCAAATAATGACATTTCTAAATTTTTCACAACTTCCAGAAAGTGTTTTCTGTCCAAATTTTTCAGGAAAACACTTTCATAAAAACGAAGCCAATTTTTTTTTTGACTAAAAAATATTTTTGTTAACTAGAAAGTATTTTCTGTTGATCAGAAAGTATTTTTTATTGACCAAAAAATATTTTTTATTAATTAAAAAAGTGTTTTCTGTTGATTAGAAAGTGTTTTCCATTAACCGAAAAATATTTTTTATTAATTGAAAAATATTTTTTATTAATCAAGTTTTTTAATGAACATGCCCTAGTCTCTTCCAAGATCTTTCCTTTCGTTTTAGGCAAACAGAATAAAAAAACATGAAAATGCCCTAATCTCTTCCAGGATCTTTCCTTTCGTTTTAGGCAAACAGAAATAACAGAAAACACCGCCCGCTGCTATAATTCCAGCAAGCGCAAAAAACATGCCTCCAAATGTTTACCTGCTTTTGAAACGTCATGACCGTGATCCCACCTACCAACCTTGGGCCCTTAACCTCGTCGGAAATATCTCTGATGCGTAGACCCATGTAATTGGCCTCAGCCCCATTGAAAAGGAGGAGGATACAGCAGCACACGGCTGCTACACACAATGCAATGACCCATATAGGCTTACTGTTTGACTGCTCAAGATACTTTGAGAGCAGACCAACCCAAGTAATGAAATGGCCATTCCACTTGAGCCCAGCAACAAGAGGGGCCGCCTTCCATACCTGTCTAAGAAAAGTGCTGACACCAAAACATATATGATGTCTTGGCCATCCCCATAATGATTGTAACACCTATTAGCTGTTTCCTGCTTTGGACTCCTGCATCTTTGAACACTTTAGGACTGTAATACACTACACCATCATTTCCTGAAGCTTGCATGAAGAAGTTGACTCCAATAGTTGCAATGAGAATACGGCAAATGGGACGAGATGGGGAGAACAATAGTTCTTTCCATGCCCCCTGACCACGCCAGTTGCTTGAAGAAGCTACATTCGTCAAGTCCGTGGCAGCTTTTATCATTTCAGCTAGTCTCAATTCCGCTTCATCTGTAGATTCTGATGTTTTGATTAGGACCTTCTTTGCTTCATCATATCGGCCTTTCATGACGAGCGAATGAGGGGACTCGGGCATCACCATAACACCTAATGCAACTACTATAGCTGGGAACGCTGCAAGTTCAAGCATTAGTCTCCAGTTTATGTTCTGAGGAAGACTTGGCAGACTGAAGTTGGAGATGTAACCAAGTAGAATTCCGACGTTGATGAAGACTTCAGGAAGAGAAGATAGGAAACCTCTAGCCATGGCTGGTGAGAGTTCTGAGGTGTAGACTGGAGCGATCAATAGCGAGAAGCCAACCCCAATGCCAGCTACTACCCTTCCAGCCACGAGGAACAAGAACGATGGAGCGAATCCCATAATAAGTGCACCTATAAGGAACGTGGCTGCCGCCAGGACAATGGTATAGCGTCTTCCAATATAATCAGATGTCCTACCAGCGGCTAGCGATCCAATCAATGAAAATACATGCATTAAGGGAACCCACCAAGATCTCTACGCGGATTGGTGTGATCTTCAGGGGGTCCTCACCACTCATCACCTCCATGTTTGCATATAACAATTTATGACAAAAAATTAGAGATAAAGACAAAAAAAATAAAAATTAAAGTTACTAAATTCAAGATTGCTATTTACTTTAATCGGACCTCCTTTTCTCTGTTCCAATATTTTTGTTTGTTTTTTTTTTTTAAGTTCCTTCCTCCCTTTGATGAAGTGCTATTGTATGCACATGGATGTCATCACATCAATAGGAGAGATTAATTGGAATGAAAAGCACAAAACTCACCATATCCCAAGAGAACAGAGTTTGAGGAGGCCAGAATTGCACCAACAAGAGCATACTTGTTCATCCGAGCCTTACTACTAATAGAAACACCCTGGACCTTCTGTCTTTGGAATTCTTCTCAAGAAGCCTCCTTGCGCTGCTTCTCTTTCCTTCTTTCGTTTTTCAGATCATTTTCCGAGGGCAAAGAAGGTTCTGAATCAGGAAGTAGGCGGTAGTGACCATGTTTGGCAGATTCGAGGGCAGAATTGAATTGCATTACTGGAAGATTAAATGCAAAAGGATACAGAAGATATTAGAATATATAACAATTGCAAAATTGTTTCACCTAACACAATTGTTGTAATATTCTTGTGCTTTAAATTGAGAATGCTAATGATAGGGAAGGGGATTTTTTTTTCTCATGCTTTTGTATCTCCAGACCAGGTCGTGGAAAGTGCAAAAGGTAGAAAGTGACCCAACTTTTAAACAGTAGAAAAAAACTACTTGTTGTTCACATGCTGCTACACACACGGAACTAGCTACCCAACAGCACTTGTGCTACCTTTCTCTAATTAGAACTTTCAACCACACAGTCTCATGAAAGACACAAATGTAATCATCATAAGTTGAACTGTTTTTCAACTGAAGAACCTGAAACTCATGTGCATGCAGTGGAGAGGATCCTCTCAGCTCTGAAGGTCGAAGCCAGGGAATCAATTCCACAGGCAAAGGGGTCAGACTATGAAGCCAAAGAGACCTTATAGAGTGTGTTTGTCTATGCGGCGGCATTCAAATTTCTTAAAAAACATACTGATTAGCTGTTTGGTTATATATTGCCAAAACAATTAAAAACATGGGTCCCACCAGTTATATACACAGGACCTCGATTATCAAAAAAGAGTGAAATACTGCCTTTTGTTGCAAGTTCAACTTGTGGCTCAACTTTCTAGAGATGAGTTACGTGGAAATTTATCAAAACGCATCATGTTCTCTTCTCTTTTTGTTCTCTTTTGCTCTTCTCATTCATGTTCTCTCATTTGCATTTATTTTCCTTTCCATCAGCTAACTATTAACTGATGGCGGCGTCTTTTTCTGTATATTTAATTGTCATTCATTTCTAAATAAAAAACAATAGCAACCCTTTTCACTACAAGCTATAACCCCAAAATGTATATCTAGATCGGGCTTGATTCCAGCACCAGTACTGAAATTTTTAACAGGTTAGTTCATTAGTCTAGTCTTATAAAATTTTTAAGTTAATTGTTGTGTATCACAATGAATATATATTTATCTTTTTTTTTAAATTATTTATTGTTTACTCTCAAGAATGATATATGATAATTTTTCATTCATTTCTCCTTATTATATATTTTTTTAAATCATTTATTGTTTACTCTCAATAATGATAATTTTTCATTCATTTCTCCTTATCAATAGAAAAACAAGACAAAAAGCAATCCATGTTACTGTAATCAACAACCCCACAACAGATATCAACATCGTGCGTCATTCAAATTCCTTAGCTGTAATTTCCAATTAATACTATGTTTACTTCACTGGTCTCTTGTATAGTAGTTTTAAGTTTATTTTTGTTGATTGTAGTGAAACCTAAATCTATTTAAGCCCTTTTCTAATTCACTTGTATTTTACTCTTGTTAGCCATTACTTATTCTATTTATTCCCTCAATGTATCTATAGTTATTTATGTGTTGGTTATTATGCTAAGCAGGTATTTATTGTTGTGTGTTGCTGATTGTTGCCAAGTAAATAAATGTAAATTAATTATACAATTAATTTTAATTGCTAATTAGAACATCCCTTGCTTCCTATGTTAAATTGGTATTAGTTGTTGTGTGCTGCAGATTGGTAACAAGTTACTAAACTTAAATTAAAACAATAATTTCAGTTGCTAAATAGAACATCCCCTGCTTGCTATATTAAAATAATATTAGTTGTTATGTGCTGCAGATTACTTACAAGTTAATAAACATAAATTAAAATAATAATTTCAGTTGCTAAGTAAAACATCCCTTACTTGCTATGTTAAATTGGTATTGTGTGCTGCTGATTGCTAACAACTAAATAATCATAAATTAAACTAATAATTTCAGTTGCTAAGTAAAACATCCCTTACTTGCTATGTTAAATTGGTATTGTGTGCTGCTGATTGCTAACAACTAAATAATCATAAATTAAACTAATAATTTCAGTTGCTAATTAGAACATCCCCTACTAATTGATGAAACATAGTTAAAGGTTTATGCCACCGTTGGTAGGTTTTTATGTTCTTTCCCTTGTCAAGTTTCTTAGTTCACACTTCACATCATTCAATCTTTTTATGAACTAGTTTCTTAGTTTCTTTTTTCATCTCTTATCAACATTAAAGCTTTTGTCAGCTATAGTGAATTATGTGTTTAATTCTTTTTTATAGTGTTAACCAAGCTGCTATAGATCAATTTCTTTATTCATGTTTTTCATCCATTGTCAATATTCAACCTTTTGTGATTCTTTGGTTAACCTTTTGCTGCACATGTAATTTCCTGTTCTATTACTATATTATTTTAGGCCTATTAGCATTCAATCTTTGATTTATGTGGTTAATTGTTTTTTTAATTTTTCATTGCATTGTCAACCATTAAGCAATGGATGGGTCTAACACACATGATAAAGTTTTTTGGACCAAGGTAATGTTGCACACATTTTGTGACATTTGCATTACACCTATTGAGAAAGGCATGAGGTCAAACACATATTTTGACAAAACTGGTTGGTTATTTGTCATATAGTCATTCAAAGATCGAACTATTAAAATCTTAGCTTAAAAACAATTAGGATAGAATAAAAAAGGATTGAAGGGTATAGAAAAAATTAATAACTAAAATTTAAAGTTGGTTGGTCTACCGAACTTGGGACCATCTCAGCAACTGATGAATGGTAGCAAGCAAAAATTCAAGTTAGTTTTCTAATTTGCAATAGCCTCATAATTTTTTTTTATCATGTTGTATTATTTATTAATCTATTTTCATTGTTAAGTACATCCAATTGTCATTACATAGGAAATGAAATGAGCAAAGACGTGTACGCATGTCAGCATAGCGCCCTCGTTGTGTACCAAGTACGACATCATGTTTATTGACATAGTGTCCACGAGAGAATATGCTTGGACTTACTTACAAGGACTCTTATCAGATAAAGATAATGTTAGTGCTGAAATGAGAAATACAACCAATAAGAGAGCTAATATGAAAGAAGAAAGTGGCGACTCTAAAAAGGATGCAATCCCTGATTTTGTATATGATGTTAGCAATATGGCTAGTGGTTCCAAGACCTCAACAGTGCATGTCATACTACACATCAATTCTAAAAAAAATGGAACTGGAATGGGAGCACAACTAGTCGTATATCTAAATCAACTTGTTGAGACTGTCTCCATACCTAGAGAGATCACAACTCCTTCTAGAGATAAAAAAAAAAAGGTTGTAGCATTGAAGAGGTAATGGAAGAACTGTATTTTATTGATGGAATTTCCTTTGGTTGTGCATTGTATATTTTTGCAGCTTAATTCTTTTGTACGAGGAATAAGAGGGAGATGTGGGATGCAATGGGTTGTATTAACAGAAAAATATCATGACTGAAAATAATGTTTG